TGCAAATGGGGCAGTTGGGGGAGGTAACTGAAAGTCCTCTCCTGTTTAGCTTATCTTTAGTGAAACACTTGCCCTGGGCTGCTGTCCAGACAAGAAAGGTTACTTTTGAGGGTACTCTCTTTGTCCAAACAGTCTTATGAGGGAAGGTATAATGGCCCAAACAGTCTTTGGGCTGCTGTCCAGACAAGAAAGGTTACTTTTGAGGGTACTCTCACTGTTAGCTAGTGGACAGGTATCTTTGGAATCACATTTTTGCCAATCTGCATCTGGGTTGGGTTTTCTCAGGCTCCATTATTGATTTCTTGAGAAGTTGGCCTGTTGAAGGTCTCACAAGTGATGGTAGCATTGTTTAGGGTATGCTTCCTGCGGCAGATTTTGGTCCATTTGGAGTGAGAGGAATAGGAGGATTTTTTAAGGCAAATCCTCTCAAATAGATTAAATCATTCAAAGAATGCAAATTTTTTTCTTGGGCAAAAGCTTCAAATCTTTCTACAGAGACCCTCTTCTTTAATTTTTTTTTCATGATGTTACACAATGGGGGAGGGGGATAGCCCATCCCCCATACCAATAACCCCCAACCCTGGTGGCATCGGGATTTGATCCCAAGTTTCTGYTACAACAAACCAGAGAACTTACCGGCTGAGCCACCATTAGTTGGTCCCTTGTTTGGGGGCTTACCATTATATTTTCTTTTACTTTCATGAAAAGCTATATTGATTACAAAACTCAGAATGCCTAGAACCCCTTTGTTAGACTCAGCTAACTTATCCCTTACATATTTCATTCACTTGATATAATTCCCAAATACATTCGATACCCCWGATTTTACGAAACCATCAGCTAATTGGTTAGTTGGTTAGCTAACCTTGGAATCCACCTAAATTGAACAGCAATCTCCAATTATAGCATTGCAATCTCCCTCATCATGAGCCAACTTCAAATCATCTCCATTATGTTAAGTGGCCCTATCATAGACATGACAGCAGGGATGCAACTTGGATCAGGTTGGGTTGGGAATTTGTTAAATTTTCAAGGGACCCAAGCCTAAGCCTGATGTAGTTGAAATTCTTTAAGTCAGGTGAGTCAACCTGCACTCTACTTGATGGCATGACCGAGAGGCCATGTGATAACTGGCATGGCTGAACTGAATGGTTTGTTGCTTTTTCTTTTAATGATATATTCACTAAAAGCAATAAGTTATTCAGTTCAGTCACTTCAAGCATCTTCTTTTTGATAAATGAGTAAATATTTTATTAATCCAGCAGATATGAATTAAAGGCAACCCAAGGAAAGGCACGAGATGTGACCTTTCCTTTAAGATTGATCACAGAACTACAAATTCAAATGAACATAAGTTAAGTTACAAGCAATGTTTTAAAATGCGGAGGCGTGACATAAGGCATTCCACTACCTAGAGGCGTGAGGCGTAGTTCAGAATGCAAGAGGCGTAAGCCTCCCGAACACAAGGAGGCGTAAGCCTCCTTAAGAGGAGAGGGGGGTTAGGAGGAGGATGCAGAGGAAGGGGGGATCTCATTTTTTCTTTATTTTTAATAAAAATATTTTCTATTAAGAAGAATAAAGATGCATAACATTGGTTGAAAGGGGGAGTCACCGAAGGGCTAGGGGGCAAACCACTTTCTTTCCCCTTATCTTTTCTTCCCTTCCCTTTCCTTTCCTTTCCTTTTCTTTTTTTTTTTCTTTCCCTTCCCTTCCCTTTTTTTCCTTTCCTTTCCTTTTTTTTTCTTTCCCTTCCCTTCCCTTTTTTTTCCTTTCCTTTCCTTTTTTTTTCTTTTTTCTTTTTTTTCTGTCCTTTTATATCAGTTGTGCATGAGGTGCATGAGACGTACGCCTCTAGGATGCCTCATGAAAAAAGCGCAAGAGGCACACGCCTCAGAGGTGTCAGCGCCTTTGGCATACGCCTCCAGGCATACTCCCACGCCTTTTAAAACACTGGTTACAAGGTAGCCCAAAATAAAGAATCCCAAGTGACCCCCGATTTAGCGAGTCAACCATCAAGTTTGCTGATATGTCTACCCATTGGACTCTAGCTGCCATATTCCTTGTTAGCCATTTGACCTTTTTAAGGATATCTCTATAGCCCCCAATCACCATCCCACCACCACCTGAGGAGTCCCCTTCAATAAGCAAATGCTCTATCCCCAGCTGGTTTGTAAGATGGATTCCCTGTAGCAAGCAGTTCAGCCCTTATAGACTCTCCCAGACCCACAGGATCTGAATATAAAGAGATGATAGTACTATCTTTATTTCTCAGGACTCCTATACCCGAAGGTTCAAAGTTACCTCTGCTACTCCCATCAAAGTTCAGCTTAATAAACTCCTCCCAAGGTGGCATCCATTGTACCAAATATCTGTTCTTCCCGATAGAAGTATTAGGCACTCCTAACCAACTCCTCGGAAGATCATCAAAGGAATAGATATCAAACAGGTTTAATGTTTTCAGCTACTGAACTGCCCTTGCCAGAACACAATCTTTAACTTCCGAAAAGCTTATTTCCTTTTCAGA